CAGTGTGTGCTGGACGGAGGACAGTACAGGAACTCTGTGTTCGAGTGTGGAGTGAAGGGGTGATGCCATACAAGCATAGTATTAGAGCAGGAAGCGATACAGACGAGCACAGATGCACACCTGTGAGCAATCTTTCTTTCTTTCTTTCTTCCTTTTTTTTAAGACAGTCTGAAAATAATGGCTTTATTCATACAGAGCCGTGTAGAGCAAAACATCCTCAGGATGTCAACCTTCAGAAGAGTAGACGCTGAAAAAAAGATGGTTCCTCAAGGGTTCTTTAGTAAAGGCAATGGTTTTATTCAGTACCATGAGTTCCAAAGAACCACTGTATGCTTAAATAGTTCTTTGCATGCTGAAAATGTGCTGTATATGGTTCTGTATAGCACCAAAAGGGGTTCTGCAACTGATATGATGTCAAGAACCCTTTATGGTGCTACATAGAACTCCAACAACCACATTCTCCAACACATTTCTCCACAGTCACTCCACTTATGACCTATTTAATCCTGAGGCATTAATAGAGATACTAATGAGCTAAATATACAAAATCATCCTTTATAGGGGTTTATCTCAAACCCTAACCCCTAAATTTACACTCATGAAAATAATATTTGAAATAATTTGTATTTTTTTTTCAAAACTAATACGATCTTTTTGATTTCTTTTAAAGCTGAAAGATTTTTATTTACATCCTTAAATTTCTACATGAAAAACGTTCATGTCACAAAGATTTTAGCCCATAGCCCTTATTTTAGCCACACCCCTGCTTTTTAAAGCAGGAAGTGAGACTGCATTCCTGTCCCTCATGGCCACATGGTGAGCAGTTAGACCGCATTGTTTTGAAGTAAATGTGTCCCAAAGTCTGAAAATCAGTGTGGAACATCATGAATTGTCACTACCGAAACATTGACCTCTTTTCCACTGCAGGGCCGAACAGTCCTGAGCACAGAGGGTAACGACACAAAACACATTTAGAAGCCAGGCTCAGCCAGAGAACTTGCAGAGAGGAGAATTTCCACTCTGTAATGTCTTCAGGGTTTCTCTAACGCTATAGGGCGCTCCCGAGCAAGTCCACAATGAATGGGTTAAGATGGAGCATTTGAGCAAAATCATAGTTTAGAAATGCTCAAACTTTTTTAATGTAAAAGAATTTAAAAAAAAAAAACAAAAGAACAAAAAACATTTTTAAACCACTGTTAAATATTTAAGAGCTTTTGAACTGGAGGTTAAAACGGCGCCTCTTGTTCATTCATGATGTCAGTGAGAGCAAACAGCCTATGAGCTGCTCCGCTCACCAACCAATGAGCACTCAGTAGCAGTTCTACTGCTCAAAACCCGTTTGCTGTAGTAAAAAGGAAACGTACAGGTGAGTTTTCTTTGCTTTTTCAGTGAAATACATCCTTCTACTTTCTAAAATTTAAGGAAAGTTCTGGGTGAGAGATTATTAACTTTTGGTTTTTAGCTGTTGACCTCCATTTACTCCCATTCATTGAGGACTCACTCATGGGTGCCCTCTGTTGTTATGCAGTCCTGCTTTTGATATAACAGGGGAAACAGGAGGAGGCCAGGCTTCTCATAAACCGGCTCTGGCTCAGCCCGGTTTTCTCAACATGATTAACAGTTAGTACTCGGGGCCACAGAACCGTACGGTGGGATGACTTAGCGACGTAGCTATTCGCTGACTAGTCTTATGTGTATGTCGGTATTGTGCCACAGCATCCTGCTGTGTTATGTCAAACTTGAAAACGGCAAATAAATGAAAGCAGTGCATGATTTTAAACCCACCGTTCAATAAACATCAAAGCTTCAATGTCACATAAATTTCTAAATGTTAAACGGCGCTGATAACCAGGAGAGAGTAACTGGTTAGTGTTAGCTTAGCCAGCATGCTGCCAGCACTGCTCACTACAGAACAGGTTTAATTCTGACTAACAAAGGCTTTACTGACACAAATGTAGATGATAATGACTCAAATCTGAGGAAGTGAAGTCGAGCGGCTGACGTTAGAGAGACAGAAAGCTGAAATTAAACCTGTCTGGATCTGGAGCCTCCTAGCTAAGCTAATACTAGCCGGCTGCTCTCTCCTAGCTAACTTAGCATAGCTGAAGAGATCCAGAAACCCCAGTGCAGGTTCCATCTGACTAACTGATGCTCTGCTGTCACAAGTATAGAAGATAAAAAACTTACAAAGTTGACTGATTGATGGTGAGAGTGACAGAAAGCCTAACCTGTTCTGTAGCGTAGGTGGTTGATATAGTGTAGTGGGTAACACCTCTGCCTTCTACACTGTAGACTGGGGTTCAAACCCCACCTTAGTAAACACCCTACACTATACCAATAAGAGTCCTTGGGCAAGACTCCTAACACTCCATTCGCCTACCTGTGTAAAAAAGTGATCAAATTGTAAGTCGCTCTGGATAAGAGCATCTGCCAAATGCCGTAAATGTAAATGTACCCCTGTTATCGGCCACCTCAAAACAAAACATCGGGAATCTAAGCTAACTGTAAATAAATGAAAGCACTTTACTCACCCAAATCAATGTTTTTCAGGAGAGATACGTGTGTAGATTAATGTCCAAGAGTCATTTGACATGATGAGACAGTTTTTTCAATAATAACGTTTTTGTTTACTTTGACGCTAGTATCGCTAGAATGATGGGGGGTCCCCCAATATCGGCGGCCTCACTTCCGGTTTTCCATAACTCATCTTTCTGCCTAAAATTCAGCATATAAAACTGTAAAAAACATAAAATATATGTATATATTCGTTATAAAATGTGACGTTATTGTATTGTTTCATTATTCAACTTGATTTGCTTGTTTAACTAAGTATGGAGCTCAGCTCTTTGCTGCGCGCCTGATTGTGCCAGTCAAATGAGAAATCGTGTTTACGCATCATTCCTACCAGACTCAATGCTTTACAATGATTCACAATGAGGTTAAGTTTGTCCTCTGTGGGCACCCTTACGCCATATATGTAACACTACCATGGCGGCAAACTTTTTTTTACCTCAGAGCAGAGAAAGCTAACCGATAAGCTGACTTTCTACACAGACGAATATCCATCGCGGAATGAAAACGGGTTGTGTGTTCCATGCGGTTTTGTATACGCAGAATTACAACGTTATTAGTGATACTTAAATATTGTTTTCAGATATGATTTTTTGCTAGAATAAAGTTTAGATGCCCTTGTAAGGCGCAAGCTTATGTGTTTTGAATTTCGCCTGAGCAATTGGCGGAGAGAGAGAGAGGAAATGCGCAATACGTGCAAGTGGCCGATATTGGGGGGACGGCCGATGTTAGGGGTAGCTACGTTAGTGCTTAAAGCTGCAGGCTAAGCTAACACAAGTGCACAGTGCCTCCCACAGCAGTACAGGCTCAGTTATAATGAACTGATGCTTAAAAACACCCGTTTAGAGGATAAAGACTCAAACCTGAGAGCACAAATTCGAATGACTAGCGCTGAGGTGACAGAAAGATAAAAAAAAATTAATTGTTCTGTGGTGCTTTGAGCTGGACCCTGCTGGGCGATGCTAATGCTAATGCTAATGTAGCTAGTTATCTGGCTACAGGTAAAACCCACCTGCTGTTTCAATAACAGATGCTCAAATAACAACCAGCTGAGAGCACAAATTCGAATGACTGGTGTTGAAGTGACAGAAAGATAAAAAATAGACTTGTTCTGTGGTGCTTTGAGCTGCACTCTGCTGAAGTTAATGCTAATGTAGTTATCTGGCTACAGGTGAAACCCACCGCAGTACAGGCTGTTTCAGTAACTGAGACTCTAATACCACCCGTTTAGAGGATAAAGAAGATGAGAGCACGGTGTGAGACTGGAGCTGGAGCGACAGACGGACTCAAACGTGTTTTGTGGTTAGTGGTGTGTGTGTAGCTATTAGCCTGTTAGCAATTAGCCACTCATTTGTGTCGTTTTCTTCAGTATTTCCTGGTTCTGATTGAGCAGCACAAAAGATGGAAACAGAAACTGTGACCGGTCTCAGAAGTCTGGACCAGCAAGGAACGACCCAGTACGGCCCTGAGAACCATTCAGCTTGACAGTAGAAAAGTGGCCATATTTTCTGCAGTTAAATAAACTTTTTAGTGTTTAAATGAAAAATAATGTGATTTTATTTGTATAAACTGTTCAAAGCTGTGTTTGCTAGTCATTTACCGTTAGTGTTGTGGTAGAGTTTGCAAGATTGTTGCTTAAAATGAGCTAACATTGTCACTACTAAATCAATCACTGTTGAAACATTTGGTAAGTTTTGGTTGTGTTATGACTGTTTTAGAAATAAAAAATAAAATGTACAATCAGTTAATTTATTAAAATGAGCAAAATTAAATAAGCATGATTAGAGGGTCATTCAAAGCAAAAGGATTTTAGTCTTAAAAGTCCAAAACTGTTAAAAGTCCTACATGTGTTTTCCTCTCTGACTGTGAAGACTAGAATAATCTATATTGTATATATGTTTTTAACTGAATAATGTAATTCAAAAGATATTAAGTAAGACAGTAAGACATCGAAACATAGCCAAATACCTTGTTTAGTTATTATATATATATATATATATATATATATATATATATATATATATATATGCCAGCCATATACTGTGTATATAGTGATGATCATCTATCTTGTTCTCTCCGATGATGTCATAATGGTGATGATCATCTATCTTGTTCTCTCCGATGATGTCATAATGGCTCCACCCCCCCTCTCTCTCTATACATATATATATAGAGGAACGCCCATTATGACATCATCGACAAGCAGTATAAAAAGCCTGCGCCACCTGAGTGGAAGCCATTACGCAGTTGTACACTTACAGGCAACACATCTGCAAGTTTCACGTGGGAATAAAAAAAACGAAGAGGGAGAAAAAGAAGAAGAAAAAAGGAAGAAAACAACACACAAGAAGAAGGAGAAAAAGAAGGAGAAGAAAGAGAAGAAAAAAAGAAGGAAAACAAATAAGAAGGAGAAGGAGAAGAAGAAGTAAAGAAAAAGAATCACAAAAAGAACCTAAGGAACAGAAGAACAGCAAAAAAAGAACTTCCATAGACTGTAAAGCAGAAAGGAAAGATGGACACTCAGGAGTTCCAAAGTGCTCCATATTACCAGCAGGAGAGGGCCAAGACATTTTTCCGGAGGGTGGAAATGATTCGGGCAAAACTCGTCAAGGAAGCATATTACCAGCTCGAACAACAGCAGAAGAGAAGCACTGAAGTCAAGATTGATGTGGAAGAGCAGGAGGGAGGGGAGTTCTCTCCTCAGGCACAGACCGCCATCGCTATCGACGTCAGCCTATGGGAACGACTGAAGAGGCGAGTTTTAAAACTCCCTTCAACCAGCGCTTTTGCGCGCCGGATCCTAGAAAACCAGTATTTTACCGGCTTAATCATTTTTTTCATCGTGCTGAACACTGTGTTGATGGGGGTCCAGGCAGAGATCTCCAACAAGCCTCACCTGCACCTCGCTAATCAGGTGCTCAACAGCATTAACTGGCTTGTGGTAGCCGTCTTCTACGTGGAGATCGTGCTGAAATGGATGGATGACTTCTGCCAGTTTTGGAGAAACGCTTGGAACGTTTTTGATTTCTTTCTCACCTTCCTGTCGGTCCTCCCTGAGATCATCATGGCCTTTGGCGGCACTACCGTAAAAGCCCCCGGAATTGTGAAGGTTCTCCGCACCTTAAGAGTCCTTCGTGCGCTGAAGATCACATCCAAATTGAGGCAGATTAGACTGACTCTGCTGGCGATCACCAAATCTTTCAAGGATCTGATTCCTGTCTTTCTGCTTCTGCTCATAGTGATGTACATCTTCGCTCTGGCAGGCATTCCAGTCTTTAAGGAACACACTCATTCTGACATTCAGAACCTCACCTACACCAAGAGCTTTGCCGGCATCAGCAACTCCTTCAGTACTGTCTTCATACTGCTCACCAACGATCACTGGTACGCCCTGCTGGAGGACGGATGGAAGGTTCCGGAGGTGAACAAAATCTCCTGTGGCGCCTTCGTGATCATTTGGCTCATCATCGGTTCCTTCATTTTCCGCAATCTTTTTGTGGGCTTCATGGTCAGCAGCTTTCAAGCCATCAGGACTGACTTTGTGAAGGAGGTGCAGCTGATCGAGATCCAGCAAAAAGCAAATTCGTTCAAGGCCGACCTCATATACAGGACAATGAGCCGAACAACCATCAAGGAGGAGTCTCCAGCATCCAGCTCCCATCACCCCCCAGATGAGATAGATGTAGACTGGGAGACCAAAGTGATGGAGTATTTAGACGTGGTCAAGGAGCAGGAGGAGACCGAGCAGGTGGTCTGGCCCAGGGACACCCTCTTCAGATACTATGAGCTGATGGAGGAGCTACAGCGCAACCTGGAGGAGAAGAAGAGGCTGCATCATCTAAAAAGTAAGTCCTGGGTGAATTGTGGGAATTGTAGTACAGTTGTAGTTCATAGCATAGATGTTTAGCGGTGGGATGGTAAAGTGTTAGAAATAAAGGTCTCCGATCACTGTTTTTCTCCGTCTTCCAGTTCAGGCACTACTCAGCCTTCACGACATGTAGCACACTAAGGAGCCGGCTGTTTCCCTCCAGCTGAAGCTACAGTGCAACCTAAAGGTGAGGACCCAGCTGTAGTGCACACACACTAGTCTAAGCCCCGCCCTAATTGAGGCTGGAGCACTCCAATGCAGATTACAGGGGTGACGATACCCCTTTGGCGTAACATCAACCAATAAAATACGCATATGTATATTTAGCTACAGCTATATTTAACTCTCCTTTCTCTCTACAGGTTTTACTCCGGCTTTGCCCCCCCTCTACAAGAGAGCTGTGACGTCACCCAGCTCCTATAAGAGGACAGAGACCACTGTGTCACCATTTCCATGGAACAGACAGCGTAGACAGTCTTGGTGAGGTGTCCTGGCCACTGACATCATCACAACGTCCATGGCCGCGCATCTCTCTCCTCAATTTCTTGTGAACTACATTTCCAAAATCAAAAAAGGTCAGACTTACTGAGAAGATCTTGAACAAACTGTAATCACAAATAAAAAAAATAAAAAAATATCTGTCATTAAGTTCATTCCGGTTGAAAGTGAGCTCTAACCAGTCTTTACAATGTTTGCAGGATGTTGCTGATGCACCTGGCAGTGAACAAGAGGAGCTGGCAGAGGAGGGGATGAAGACTTTTACCTGCTGCGGAACCCTTTTCAAAAAGGTTCTATATAGAACCACTTTCTTTAATAAAGAACCCTTGAAGAACAATCTTTTTTAAGCCATTTCAAGTGTCATTTGTGAAGGAAACCAGGTTGAATTTGGACTTAAAATTGTGCGCTATACTGGTGAAATAAATGTTTAATGTATTTTAGTTATGGTATTAAGTGTACGGTACTAAGGTAGGTGTTTCTAATAAAGTGGCCAGTGGAAGGAAGGACAAGGTAGGTGTTTCTAAAAAAGTGGCCAGTGGAAGGAAGGACAAGGTAGGTGTTTCTAAAAAAAGTGGCCAGTAACTGAAAGCATAAGTAGTTTGTTTCTAATAAAGTGGCCAGATAGTGGAAGTACAAGGTAGCTGTTTCTGATAAAATTGATGGTAAGATATGTTTGCAAGTCAAAGCATCTTAAATGTGGGTAATGTATCTAGCTTGGACCCACTTCTTATTCTCACTGTTTACATTATACAACTTGAAAGCCAGACAGGTTTTTTACAAGTTCTGTTATCACTGAGGTCTTTAGACAGAATATTAACGTTGGCTTTTATTTGGCCCGAGCTGGTAAAAGAGTCGTCTTAGGTAACCATGTGGAAAATAACACCGGTAAGCTGTTTAGCCAGGTAGGTGGGGCGTATTTTTCTGTACTTCTCCGATCACCCCTTACACCCCGTGTGTCAAACACAAGGCTGGTGGTACAATCCAATCTGGCCCTTGAAATTATTTAGATTTTCTATTAATATTAGCCCATTTCACAATGAGCTGCACTACAATCCCCAGCATGCAATGCAACATAATTTACGCTGACACCCCCCCGACAGCACTCGATGTTACAGCAGTTTTTTACCCAATTCCACACGTCATATCACCACTAGCTGCATTTCAGCTGCAGTTCACCCAACATTAACACTACAAACTCGTCAGCTTAGAAACTGATCACAAGAACTAATAATGAACTTGCAGCAAAGAAAAGATGTCAGGTGTCGGGACCAGACACACAGGTAGGTTTAACAGACCTACATTCTGGGGACATTTAGAGAGATTTAATGGTGATCTGTAGCTAATTACTATCAAGTAATCTTATATCAAGTCTACTTAAGCAGACAGAGGAGAAAATATAATTGATTAATACACATTAAGACGGTTCTTTCCAACCAAGTATTTTTCATAGTTTTACAGATATTTGTAAACTATAGCAGCATTATTATTTTGGCTCTTCTTCGCTTTGAGTCTGTTACACTGTAATATTGAAGTCCCTGTCATAAAATGATAATAAAACATGTTTGTAATTCATTTTGAATTTGGTCAATGTCACATTTTCTATTGAAATTGTTCTCATCATTCACCACTGTTCTTGTAAGGTCATTTTGGTAAGTAATGATTAACTCTACAGATTTGTTAGCATTTCATCAGTAATAAAGTACTTTCATCGCTTTAGGGGGCTCAGACATTGCAAAATCATCATAAAAAATCAGTATTTAGTCATAAAGTCTTACCAGTTCAACACTTTACTTTAGGGTCCTATCTGTAAAAATGGAAGTATGATCTCAGATTTTGTCTGTAATTTTGTTCATGTTTATCAATAACAGTGAGTCATACAGTGTCAGAAACAACATAATCTATTAGAGATACTGAGCAGCTCAGGAAACTCAGGCCTGCAGTTAGCATCATGTTCATAGCTATAAGGTTTAATTACTTGTTAGCTACATTAGCATTATAGTTTCAGACACCACACATGTCTTGGCTGATTGACTACATTTGGGGGTAAACATAGATTTTAACTCTTCAGATGACACGACGGAGTTCAGTATTTAGTATTATAGTCAGGAGACTTTGGATATGTGACTCTCTGTGAGGGGGACTGATGGGAGGGTCAGTTTCAGAGCTACCGAAACTACCTGAGAATGGAAAGAGATCAGCTCTCTCTCCCACTCTCTCTCTCTCTTTGGGATCAGATGGCACCAAAAGGCCATAAATCAGAGACCAGGCCTTTTAACGTCCCCCGTTCTCTCATGCGTGACCTCTCAGTCAGGGGTAAGTTGGCTGAGGGGGCAGGGAGCAATGGTTGTCTTTAGCTCTCTTTAACACTCCTGGGTCCCCTATGGTGAACATGCCTTGAAATGCCTCGTTTTATACTTGGGTGAATTACTTCTCACATGTACCTCATTGAAACAAGTGAAAAAATTCTGTGGAAAGTGCTGATTCTAAACTTTCAATGCATACGACACTTGTGCTTGTATTGTTTGGAAGAAAAAAGATCCATTACATTTTTGCCATGTTTTTCATTTTTGTTTTTCAATCTAAACAAATGAAAAAGCGCAAATATGAATATGTATACAGAGTGTAAATCAAATGCAAATTAAATTAATTATTTAAGTAGAATAAAAAGGTTTTCTCGATGCAGTCACTAATAAGGCTTAGGTTGTTATGGTGTTCCAGGTGTTTTCTAGGATGCTGCTAAATGGTGGGTAGCATTCCAGGTGAATGCTGGGTTGTTGTTAGTTGGTTTCTATGGTATTCCAGGTAGTTGCTATTGTGTATTCCATTGCATGCTAGGTTGCTGCAAGGAAGCTGCTATGGTATCGATAGGTGGTAAAAAAGATTATAAGTGGTTGCTATTGTATACAATTTGTTTCCTTGGGTATCGTTGGTAGGTTGCCATGCCACATAGTCGCTAGGGTGTCGCTAGATGGTTGCTAAGGTAATGATGGTGACTGCTAGGGTGTTGTGCGGTGATTACTAGGGTATCTTTCATGGTTAATAGGTTGCTGTGGTGTTCCAGGTGGTTACTATTATGTGTGAATATATGTATGCTAGCATGTATGCACTTGTAGGTAATGTATTTGAATATGCGTGTCAGTCTGAGAGCCTGAGATTGTGCAATGCTTGATGGCTCTGCCATGAAAGCTGTAAGAGTAGCAGTGCTGACAAATTTCAGTGTAGGAATAATCACAATAATAATACGACAAAGAAGACGAAAACAAAGAACGGTAAGTTGGCTTTGTTGTGCCAGTTTAAGTATGTAACAAAAATCTGTAATTACATCTAACATCAGGACAGATCCTGAGAGAGGAAAGGTCAGCATGTGTTGAATGGAAATTTATAAAATCCATGCTTGCTTGTGTGTGTGAGTGTGTGTGTGTGTGTCAGTGTGTGTGTGTGTGTGTGTGTGTGTGTGTGTGTAGTTGAGTCTATGTGTCAGATGTTAACTAACCAAGCTGGTGGGCCAAAAACAGACAGCCTGTGTTTTAATTCCCTGATGGTTTCTAATGCACATTCAAACAAGAACTGACATAAACGGGATCCAACAGCACTTACAGTTCTATTTCATTTTCCACCTACTTGAGAGGCGACTGGAACTACAGTGGAGCTCCAGAGCGCACCGCCCATGCCACCCAATGGATCTCCGCTACAGTTCCTCTCAACCATCTCTCAAGTACATGGAAACTATAGACAATCCTTTAGAATATATTCATGTAATTTGTGATATAGTAACATTTTTTCTCTCCATGTTCCATTAGAAGAAAGGACAGCAGGCCTGTCGTTAGCCCATAGATGTAATGTAAGTTAGCATTGCTGAACCCTCCAATTAAGCATATAGATGTGCCATGTGTGCGGAGAACTTCTTGCAAAAGAAAAATGAAAAAAGAAAAAAAGAAAAAAGAAAAAAAAAAAGAAAAACAGTTCCATTAAACCAGATTATACTTTAGCTTTAGAAGACATCACTGCACTGCTAATTATGATGATACAGCCAGAGTAATTGTAATGTGGAAAGAATTGGCGGCTATGTTGAAAAGACAAGCTATCGGATTTGCTTTTGAGTTAAATGTGAGCTATGCATGTTAGCGGTATAATTCTAATACTTGCTCTAATAAAACATAGGGAGCACTTAAGGATATAATTAGCAAAATGCTAATTGTACAGGAAATGTGACATTGGCTCATTCAGTACCAGCCTAATCTATTCTTCTAAACTCACCATACAGGGAGACATTTTAAACTATTGAGACAAAATCCATCCAAAATTGTGCATTTTGGTCCCAATATGAGGATGACCAAACAGATGTGATGAAGGACAGATACTAGAGGCTACAATCCAACAATCCAAAGCCAAACTAGGATCTTATGAGGCCCAGTGTAAAAATGGTTGGACCCCATATGAAAATTATGTTTGTTTAATAATAAAACAAATAAAAAATTAAAATGTAAGTTGGGTAACACTTTACTCAAACCCTGCTGCATAACACTGACATAACCATGTTGTGGCAGATGTCATATGCTGTCATAACAGATCATGTCCAGTAGTATAGCACAGTCACTTTAGCATTTAAGTTAATTGTCATGACAGACGTGTCAT